GGGCGGGCAGGGGCGGAGGAGCCGGCTCAGCCCAGACCTGCCCGCGGGAGGGTGGATTTGCCCCTTGCTGCTTCCCCCCCCTCCCCAGAACTGCTGCCCATGATGGTGCTGCCACCCCCCTTGGCAGCTGGGACAGGATCCATCCGGCGGGGAAAACAGCAAGAATGAGTTCTGGCTGCTTCCCAGCCCTGTCAATCAGTTGGGAACCCTCACCTTTCAGAGCCCGGGGCTCTGCAGCATCCTCTGCTCTCCCTGTCTCACCCCCCCTGCCTCAGCAATTCGGTTCCATTGAGCAGCAACAGCCACGGGACCTTTCCCATTTCCATTATTTTTCTCGCCTAGTGCTGCAGGTGCAAACCATGACTTGGGCCACGCACCTTCATCATCCTCTTTTCCCACTGCCAAGCACCGAAGTTGCTGAAAATCCCACCTGGAGAGGCTGCAGTGGCCAAGCTGAGCAGTGGCCAGCCACTCAATCCCCTTTAATGCCGGGCCTTCCCAGTCCCAGGACAGCCAGGCACAGGTGAGGACCTGGGCTCCAGCAGCCTCCTCCAGCCCCAGGATCCCCACCCTGTCCCAAGGGAGCAGGAAAATTACCAGTAAAACGACCACAAATCAAAGCCAGCACAATCAGGAGGTAAAAATTATACTTTTATTTTTCATTCGAGTAAACCAGGAAGAGAATCGGTTGGTTTGTTCCATCGGGTGGTTCAGTTAAAAAGGCCAAATAACGTTTTTAATTGGTGGGAAGGAGGACACGAGGACAAACCCCAATCAAGCGACGGATCCAGAAGAAAACACGTTCTAAGCTCAGCACTGAGATGCAACCAGGGAAGCTGGGATGGACAAAAATCTATTTTACCACGTGATGAGAAGCAATTTAGCTTTGAATTTTTCCTTCCTTTTTTTTTTTTTTTTTTTTTTTTTTTTTTCCTTTCTCTTTTTTTTTTTTTTTTCCTATTTTATTTACTTATTTATTTTAAATACAGGTTTAGGTGCTCTTCAGCTATGAAAAAAGGCAAAAAAGTGCATAAGTCGAGAGAAAAGGCAGAAATCAAGCAGTAAGAGGTTTGTTTTCCCATGGCAGGGGAGAAGGGGCAGGGCGTGGGAGGGGAGAATCAGGACAATGGTTCCAAGGTAGCATTAAAAAAAGGTCTGTATCCCAAAACGGAATTGCCTGTGTTATTTGGTCCATTAAAAAACGGTTTATTCACATTGATACTCCCCCCTCCCCCCACTCCCAGACAAGAATGTGATTAAGAAGAGGATTAGCAGGGAGACAGGGATCCCCCCACCCAGCCACCCCCTCTCTCCTGCTCTTGTGCTCACTTGTTTTAGCACCAACCGGGATTCCCATCCCGGAAAGCCCATCCCGGCTGCTTCTGGGGTCCCTTTTTCACCTCGAGGGGACGACAGTGCCAGGAGTCCCTGTCACTCTCCCTCCTCCCCTTGCAGCCGGCTGGGGATCGAGCCAGGAACAAAACGTTTCCCTCTACCTGGCTCCTGCCCTCCCGGGGGTCTCTGCCCTGCCAGAACCCCACATTTGCTCCAGCAGCCGCCGACTGGGGTCACCCCAACCCCGGCACCATCCATGAACCAGCCCTGCAGCCCCGGGTGCTTTGAGAAAGGGACTGCGAGGTGGTGGGATCCTCTCCCCAAGGACCCGTCCCCAGGGAGAGACAAGGAATGTCTGGACTCAGCCGCTTTGGTCCCTAGATTCCCTCACTTCCTTTGGGAATAGCAAAGAAGGCAGCAGCTTCCCCCTGGAAGCGTCCTGGCCCCGTGGGGCAGCCCGGCAAGGGAACAGTCCCCTGGGGCTGCCTGGTCCCCATGGGCTGAGCTGGGAGAAGAGCACCCTGCTCCCACCCTCCCTGCTTCCAGTTATTCCTGCCCCTGTCCAGCTCCAGCACCTCCGGAGCGTGAAGGAGAAAGGGACAGGGACGTGCTTTGAGATTTTGGTCCACAACCTTGATGCCAAGTCAAAGGTAGCCCCAAAAGCCACCACTGCTGGGGACAAGTGAGAGGTGCAGGGTGGCTCAGGGGGACAAAGCCCCGTCTCTGCCACTCAGGAGCAAGCTGTGGAGGGGACAGTTATCCAGGACTGTCCCCACTGTGGTGGCAGAGGGGAAGGATCTTTCACACACAGCTCAGAAGAGGCACAGGGATGGGGGCTGATCCTGCTGGCTCCCCAGACCCACCCACCCAGTGGCTGGGGGGGGCTCAGGAGGGTCCCAAAAGCCCTGCAGCAGTGAGAGAAGAGTAGGAAAGAGTCTGGGTGAATCTAGGGGGTGACCAAGGCAAAGAAAGGAAGGGGCTGCCCGACAGGAGGGGCCCAGGGGACCCCCAGACTCAAAGAGAGGAAGCTGGAGATGCAGGAGAGATGGGAGGTCACAGTGGAGGAGGGAGGAGCCCGGCCCATCTCCAGCCCTTGGGCAGCACCAGCAGAGCTGTGGTTGCTCCTTTCCCCAGGGCAGCAGAGCCCGGGCTCAGCTCCAGAGGGATGGGGGAGATGGATCAAGGCAGCCAGAGCTCCAGGGAGAAGCAGCAGCAAGAGCCACTTCCAGGGCTGTCCATCCAGAGCAGCCCCTCAAACCCCCACGAGAAAGATACATTTTTGTTGCAGGATTTTTAGCTGCGACTGTTTTCCTGTTTTGAGGCCTGAAGGGAGCAAAGACTGAACGGAAACGCTGCACGGAGGAGCTGGGAGACACGAGGGGATGAGCCAGCCGTTCATCCAGCCCTGCCCTCCTCCACGCAGACATCGCTGCCCATCCCCACCACAGCGGGGGGAATTTGGTCCTAACAGATGTGTCTCCTCCTCCCTCTGCCGGGATCCCACCAACCGGCTGCTTCCTGCAGCCGGGAAATGCTGGAGCACCCCGGGGGGGCTGGGAGAGGGAGGGAGACCAGAGGAGAAGGAAAGCTGTGGTGGTTTGGCCTCTGGAGCCCCCAGCACCCTCTGCAGATAGTCCCCCAGTCCCGACAGGGCTAGAACAAAGCTAAATTGGCAAGATAAACCGGAGGCAGCTGTGGGAACACTGGGATGTCAGGAGGTGGCTCTGGCGGGCAACGGCAGAGCCGATGGGACAAGGGACACAGGGAGAGAGAGAGACACACACAGCAGCCACGTAGTTGGCGGGGAGCATCCCCGTGTCGCCCGTGCGCTCCACCGTCCCGTACATCCACCCGTCGTCGATCTGCTGCACGTTGATGATGGTGTCCCCGTCCTGGAACGAAACCTCGTCCTCGTCGGCCGCGTTGTAATCGTAGACGGCGCGGAAACGCTTCTGCGGGGAGAGGGGAGTCAGGGGGCTCTGATCCCGCCCCCCCGAGGCGGGCAGAGCTGCCATCCGTGGGGAGGGGGCAAGGAGCCCCGCTGAGCCCCCCACAAGAGCCGCGCCAGATGTGGAGGTTTCCACCCAGCATCGCACCCCTGCCAAACGGCTCTTCCCCTTGGCCAGGGAGGGGAGCAAGGGGAGCACACGCTGACCCATGGGGGTGGGCAGCGAGGGGCTGGAGCTGGGGTGGGCTCTCCCGGCTGTACTCACCCCCCCTCCAGCAGGAGCGCTGCGCTGTGTAGAGGCCGGTGCCGCCGGCTCCTTGTAGCCGTAGGACTGGGATGGCTGCTGCTGCTGCTGGTACACTGGGGAGGGGGGAAAACAGGTCCCTCAGCCCGAGCTGGGACGTGGGGGGACACACAACCCCCCACACACACACAAAGAAGAGCTGGCTGCTGGCCCAGCTGAAACACGCAGAGCAGAAGGAGGTGCCTCCAGCCTTACCCGGGTTGCTGGGCGGGACGTGGTGGGACGGCGGCTGCTGCTGCTGCTCTGCGGGTCTCCGGTAACTGCTGCTCTCCTGGGAGTTCCTGCGCTCCAGCTCAGCGCCCTCGCTGGGACTCGGGCCCATCCTGCTCCTCTCGAACTCTTCGTGGTATTTTATCTGCGGCCACAGGAGAGGCAGGAGGGTCAGAGCACGGCAGGGACAGCTCTGCAGCCCCAGCAGCTCCTGCAGCCCTTTGGTGCCAGCAACGTCACCCCGGCTCCCTTCTTTTTGCCACCAAGGTGGCATTAGCCACCTCACAGCCTCCCTAGCAGTCCCAAGGGGCTTCTTCCCACCCATCTCCTCGGGGATGTTTGCTCAGACCTCTTTGTGGCACAGAAAGGAGAAGGTTTAAGTGTCCTGTGGGTGGCATATACCAGGTGTGGGTGAGATTTAAGACCAGGTTCCCAGCCCACGAGGCTGCAGGAGCACGGGCCAAAAGCACCTTTCAGAAGTCCCCCCAACACGTGCTGAATTCGAGGTGCAACTCCCCAGCCCACGGCTGGGTACAGTGGGTGCCATGGAGGTACCACCTCTTGCTTTAGTTGAAGTGTGAGGGGGCCTCGGGGGATTTTGTTGAAGGAGACTCAAAGCAGATGCCACCAACCCCCCCCCCCAGCTGCATTGGCCTGAGCCTGCCCCCACAAGCAGCACCGAGGGGAGGGAGGGAAGGGTTAACCCACCCGTGTGGGTGTAAAAATTAATAGCTGCTTGTGTTAATGAATGTCTTGCCATCAGAAAGCACCTGGAGCCCATTCATCTGCTGGTTAAACAGTTACTCACTGAAGGGCACTACTGCTGGCTCCCTGCACAGGCAGGAGGCAGAACCTGGAGCTGAGCCACCTTCCCGGGAAGGAGGAGACCCCCGGGGAGCACCTGCTCCCCCCCAGGGAGCACTCTGCTCCCCCCGAGGGAGCCCGGGCAGGAGAGCACGTCCTGGAGCTCCCAGGCTCCGGCTTTGCACAGCTCCCTTGCCAGGAGGGTCTTCCCTACCCCAGAACTGCACTGTCCCCTCCGGGGGAGCGAGGCACCGGCGGCCGAGCCGGGCTCTCCGCGGGGAGCAGGGCTGGGCTGGTAAAGTGGGTCACTGCAACCCCCGGCTGGCAGCCAGATGCCCCGGGGGAAGCTGCTGAAAGCAGCTGCCACGGCTGGGAGAGGGTGCAGGGCTGGGCTCTCTCTCTCTGCTGTTATTTAGTGCCCCCAAACCCCCACAGATTCAAATCCGAGTGGGGCTTTCCCCAGCAAAGGCGACAGCTCAGCAGCAGGGACCTGTGCTCAGCTCCTGCCAGCTCAGAGCCCTGGAGAAGCTGCTTCCGAGGGGAAAATCTTCCAGCCGGGTCCATTTCCCAAAGCCTCCCCCAGCCCTGGCTGTCCTGGTGAGCAGATAAGGCCCCGCAGCTCCCACAGGAGAGATCTGGGCTGCACAATGGGATCAAACCAGGGAACAAACACCCTCCTCCCGCCCCGCTGGGCATTCCCCTGGCTGTGGAGGTGAGGCAGGATCCTCCCTCTCCCTGCAAGCCCAGACCCTCCTCCCCTGGACACCCCGGGATGCTGAAGGATGGAAAAGAAGGAGCAGCTCAGGGTTGGGAGCAGCTCCCAGCACCGCAGGACCCGCGGATGCCCGAAGTTTTCTCCTGCCAAGCTGTGCTCCAGAAGGGGTGTTCCTTGTCGAGGTAACACCAAGGCAAGCAGAGCCTGGCAGGGACAGTCACAGCTGAGGAGGGGCAGGAGGAAGAGCCCTTGGCCGGGGCTGGTCCCAGCGAGCCCCGACCCTGCACCGGGTCACAGGGACACCCAGAGCTGGACGGGACTGTTCCTGGTCCACATCTGTCCCCACCAAATGCCACTCCCTGCTGCTCCCTTCTTTGCTTCTCACCATCAACTTGAGCACCTCAGACTTGGATCCCCCTGCGGATCCGGCTGCAGCTCCTGCCAGCACAGAGGGGCTGGGAGAGGGGCAAGGAGGCCACAAGATGCCCCCACAAACAGGTTGGAGAATTAACCCTGCCAGGCCCTCAGGATGCTCGTGAGCAGCTGCCAGAGCCTCCTCAGCCCCTGCCAGCAGGAGGAAGGTCCTGGCAATGCCACACGCAGAGGTGAGTAGCTACTCACGTTGCTGATCTGATCCTGAGTCTTTTTGATTCTCTGCAGCTCCGGGGTGTCAGCCACCACACTGAAGCCTTTCCCCTTGTTCTTCTCAAACTCCTCCTTGTAGCGAATCTGGGTACAAAGGAAAAAAAAAGAAGAGATATTTAAGCCCGGGGAGAGCTGGCAGACCCAGCAGCTGGCTCCAGCAGCAGCCCCTGGCCATGCCCCGTGTGCCTCAGAAGATGCAGCAGCACCAAGACACGTCCCGTGGAGCAGCTGACCCATGCCAAGCAGCCACCTGAGAGCCCCCAGGATCTTAGGATCTCCACCCCAACGAGAGCATTTCCATGTTCTGCCCCCTCAGGGAAGGAATACACCCTGCAGACCATAAGAAAACCAGAGGGTAGAGGCTGGCAAAACACAAGCATCCTCATTTCTGTCAGCCAGACACTGACACGACATCCCCTCCCATCACACCCAGCAGCTGCCAAATCCTGGTTTTCTTTTTTAACGTAGTTCTACACAGCTTTAAGTGGGGTTTCCAGCTCCTCCAGGAGGGAGTTAACACCACAGCCACAGCCCAGATGTGCTCTCCTGCTCCTCAGCTCTCGGGGCAGCTGGACCTAATTCTGTTCCCACCCAAGTCACCCAGAAGCAGAAGCAGCTTCTGCAGAGGCTGAAACCCAATGGCTGAGTTGAGGGCTCCAAAAGGGAAGGAAGCAGCGTCCAGCTGCCTGGCCAGCACTGACACAGCTAATTTTTAGTGGCCAGAAAGACACACTGTTTTCATGGGGGAGGGAAGGAGATGTGCAGACAGACACTCTGACCTCCTTCATCCTCTCTGCCAGGGTCTGGCCCTGCACCCTTGGCCATCAGGAGCTGCCCCTGCCCATCTGGGCAGCTTTAGGGACTTTGACCAGTGACAGCCTGTAAACATGCAGCTCAAGCTGCCCCTCCCAGGGATTCTCCTCCCCAGAGCCCTCCTGGTGCACGGCAGAGTTGTGTGTTGTCACTGCAATGAAAAGGTCACCGACTGCTTCTCACGCAAGCAGATCCACCCTCCGGGTCCCCGCGGAACCGGCGCAGGCGCAGCAGCTCGGGCGGGCAAAGGGGGAGACAATGGTCACCCAGCTGTGGGCAGGGGACACAGGAGCCAGCAGTGGGACAGGCAGGGACAGAACTGTTGGAGCAGCAGAGCAGGAACTGCCTTTTATGGCTGGGAGAGCAGCTGATGCATCCTGAGCAGGAGCAGGGAAACGCTCACCCAAGATACATCAAACCAAATCACAGATGGTTTGGGTTGGAAGGGACCTTCAAGATCATCTAGATCCAACCCCCCTGCATGGGCAGGGACACCTCCCACCAGCCCAGGCTGCTCCAAGCCCCATCCAACCTGCCCTTCAACACTGCCAGGGACGGGGCAGCCACAGCTTCCCTGGGCAACCTGGGCCAGGCTCTCACCACCCTCACAGGGAAGAATTTCCTCCTCATGTCCAACCTCAGTCTCCCCTCTTCCAGTTTAAAGCCATTCCCCTTCATCCCATCATTCCCTGCCCTTGTAAACCAGTCTATGATTCCATGGTTTTAAGATGCCAAAGCACAGAGGGACACGAGACACTGATGTCACAGAAGTCTCCTTTTGCTTGAGAGAGAAAAAAAACAACAAACAACCTAAACCTCCTGCTGGCCGGGGTGAAGAACACGGCCTGAACATCACCCACCAGGAAGGAGCAGCCTCGAGGTGTTAACCATGGGGCAGGAGGAACCAAAGGCTCCCAGAGCTGTGACACACAGCCAGGCTGGGGATCAGGAGGGGCTGAGTCAGCAGAGGGGCTGGTTCTGCCTCTGCCCCTTCCCTGCTCTCCAGAAGGGCCCCGAGCTCTGCAGCCTGGCCATGGGGCACTGTCCTGCTGCTCTCCCCAGAGCTGTGCTGAGGAGAGGAGGGGTTTCCTGCAGCCTGAAGCTCAGCCAGCCTTGGAGTGGGGGTCCCAAGATGTAAGAAACCCAGGCTTGGAAGCTAAGGAGTCACCAGGTCAGGAGCTCATCACAAGGCCAAGCAGTTCCTTTGAGAAGTTCTGTATTTTTACCCTCTCAATCCCACCCTCCTCCACCTCTCTTGGGTTGGTTTGTTGTTTTTTTTACCCCTTTGACTTTCAGGATACAGGAACTTGGCCTCAAAATCCTGCTGTGCAGGGATGTCTGGGTGCAGGGGGCTGAGCTGGGGAAGGGGCTGGTACCTGGGGCAGGTCCAGCCCAAAACATCTCCAGGGCTGCTGCCCCAGCACACCCAGCCAAGGGAACCAGAGCATTGCCCTTCACCCACAGCCCGTGTTCAGGAGTGGAGAGATGGGCAGGACTCTATTCCCACCTCATCACATACCATTAATATAATTAATATCATTATAAATAGTATTAATAGCATGAATAATATTAATACTACTATTAAGAATAGTATAGTATAATAGTATGTTATAATAATAGTAAAGTATAATAATAGTATATTAATAATAGTAGTATTAATATTAATCAAGTGACATTTACACTACATAATAATATTAATATTCAATAATAATTTTATAATTAATAATGTAATGATAATGCACTATGCAATATATTAAGAATATATTCTATCTAAATAATATCATCAAATAATAAAAAATGATATGACAACATAATTCACACTGCCAAATTTAAGTAAGTTATTTATACTATATGAACTTATTAAAATTATATCCTTGGCAATGAATATATAGTTAATTGTACTATAATCACATGAATAGCTTATGTCCTGAGTTATTGATCAGGTACTAATGACTGCAACAATAACGATCACGGGTCCACAGTTTTCCCCAGAGGAGCTGCTCCCTGTGGATGTGACAATGTCCGTGCACAGCCTGTGCAGAGGGAGCTGGGGAAGTTCCCGTCACCCCTTCCCTCACCAGCAGCTCCCCGAGGTGACAGGCACGGGGCTGCGGGGGGGGCAGGGGGGGGGGACCCGCCCCCGCACCCC